AGCTTGATCACGTCAAGCAACTGGTTGACTACAATGGTACCTACAACACAGGCATCCAAACATGAGAACTGACTGCTAAAGTTGAGACGTCAGCACTCCACGGTCTGGTTTAGAGTTTTGACTGCCAGAGAAATGAGCCAGGGAGATGGTTAGATGAGAGGCGAGGCCTGGTGGGACATTCCAAGGCACAGGGGCTGTGGTACTAAAGGACCTCGGTTTTCTCTTCCCACACTTACTCTGGCCTTGAAGCCCTGAGTCGCTTATATTATGATGTGATATCTTGTCATATTCCTAAAGGCAAAAGAGGGCCAACGGATCACAGTCTAAAACACTGAACCAAAACAAACCTTAGCCACTCTGTAAGCGGGTTATGGTGGACATTTGTTACCATAACAGGCTAAAATGACGAGCACACTGAAAAGAAAGGAAACTGGACAATTACATGGCAAAAGAGTCAATATATACATATAAATATAATAAAAACCATCAAATTACATGGTAAAAGAGTCAATATACACATGTAAATATATATAATAAATAAATGTAAAATTACATAGTAAAAGAGCCTATATATAATACATATTTACTCACATTTATATATAAAATATGTAATACAACAGAAGACACTTTTGACCAATTTCAGCACCACTGCTCCATTAATCTGGTGGTAGAGAGGACCCTAAAAACATGTCCCAGGAAAAGTTTCAAAAAAAATACTAAGTGGGGGCTAGGCCTGGTGATATAGGCTAGTAATTGCAGCTATTTATCCCAGCTATTCAAGAGAGTGAGGCAAGAGAATCCTAGGATTCACTTGAGCAGCCTGGGTAACTCAGTAAAACCTGTCTCAAAACAAGAAACCTTTAAGAGGACTCGGTGGTGGATGGCATACCTAGCATGGCCAGGGCATAGGTTTAATGGTCTGTACCACCCAGAAAAGGTAAAACACAAAGTTGAAAATCATCCCGGATGCTGAGAGCAGAACCAAGGTGTAAAAGCTTGAGCTGGAAGATGAGAGTGTGCCCTAGGATATTTGAAGCATCTAGAACTGAAATAAAAAGTTATTTAAAAAGCATCCTCAGGAAAAAAAAAAAAGAAAAAAATAGAAGAAAGAGAAAAACGAAACAAGGTGGTAACCTCCAAGAGCGGGCATGAGTCCAGGGAAAGGTGAAGGAAGAAGCGACTGAAATGTGAGCATGGAGAAGTCACTCTATCTAGGGCTGTCTGCCAGCCTAGGAGCACGGGCTCTGGAACAGCTGGCCTTGAGGCAAGTGCAGAGACATAACTCAGAGAGGGTACTCATTCATCAAAGAAAAAGACCGAAGGAAAAAAAGGAGGGATACTCCCCATTTGAGGACAACATGACCTCACAGGGAACCCAAAGACAGACTAGCCCAAGCTGGAATCCATTCAAATAAAGATTACCTATTCTTAAAATTCCATGTCTTGAGAATGAAGAAAAAATATATATCCTGTACCAGATGCCCCTCTCTAGTGCCCATCTGGAAGAAAGAATTTCTACTCTTCTCTCTTCCTGGAGTTTTAGGAGCCCAACTACACTGACTGGCTCCTCTCTCCTCCCTTTATTTCTTAATCCACAGCAAAAAGGTTTGGGAGACCACTAGGGAGACTATGGCACCCTTAGGCCAAAGCCAACAGTTACCTTGAAATCCCTATTGAAGAGGGACCTTTCTTCAATACCTCCCATCCAAGTTCTTTATACTAACTCAGAGCCTTCCAGGTAAAGCCAAAATCAACAAGGTCACCCTTCACCCCCACTCCCTGCATCCATCCTTCACCCCCACTCCCTACATTCACCCTTTACCATTATCACCGAAGTTCTAGAACAAGGCAGTCTACACTCTAGATTTCCACCCACTGTGAACCCTGGTGCACACCGGCCTTAGGACTCTTACCACTAGGTGTCATTGCCGGCAGAGGCTCCCTTGGAAACCATGACCCTTCTTGCTTCTCAAGCACCTCACACCTATCTTTCAAATGCAGAGTTCCTCAAATCTTATGCCACTTACCACTGTTCTTACACTCCAGAACAACCTATCCCACAACAGCTGAGACTTAGCCGGGACTAGCGTAACCCACCATCTCCTCATCGCTAGCAGCAGACACGGCTGCCCCATCTAAGCCTAGAAACCCTGGGTTGCCAATCAAGTCACAAACCACCAAGGGCAACAGAGTACTGCCCTAAAAAGCTATCATCCAGCTAGCCTGAATCACAAACAGTTACCCAATCAATGATGAAGTTCCAGCAATTCTACCTCCTCAAATTTCCCTCCTCCCAGCCCTCCCTCTTCCAGTTCATTTCCTTGCTGGTCTGGGCGGCCAGGAAACAAACAAGCGACCAAGTGGCTCTCTCCTTCTACAGACATCTATCTGCCCTGTTGATCAGTATATTTCTACCATGCATGACAAACCCTAAAGTATCCTGAAGGTTGAAGAGAAGTAAATGAATATGTTAGGTCATTCATGAAGCTTGTCCATCATAATGCTGACCACAACCCACTGTCAGTCAGGATAGGGTATGAAGATCTGAAAATCTCATATCTCTCGCTTCTGCAACCCCAGTGGATAAGATAGTTCTTGGTACTGAGTAGACACTCACCTAGATAGAAAAGGCCACTTGGGGAAAAAAAAACTCAAATCTGGGGGCTGGAGAGATGGTTCTGCGGATAGGGGCACTTGCTGCTCTTCCAGAAGACTCAGGTTCAGTTCACAGGGCCCACATGTGGGCTCAAAACCATCTATAACTCCAGTTCCAGGGAATCTTATGCTCTCTTCTGGCCTCCATGTGCACACTGCATAGACATATTTGCAGGCAAAACACCCATAAACAATTAATTAATTTCTAAAGAATCTGGAAAGACATACCCCATAGTATTACGTTTGGTTAGCCCTGAAGAAACAGCAACAGTGCAGACACAAGGCGGGAAGGGTAGAAACTGATACTCTTTATTCCATACATCTCTATGTCGACATTAAATTTTTTCCAATGTACATGTGGTTCCAAATGCCAAAAAGTACGTTAGGAACAATGCCTAAGTACAATATAATGCTCTGAGGACCGTGTTCATTCTGGGAAGCCAGCAGCTCAGTGGGTGAGTGTTTGTTGCACATATATGAGGACCCGGGTTTGGTTAAGCACCCCTATAAAAAGCCAGGTATAGTTGTGCATCTATAACCCGGCACTGGGGAGCAAGGGGAGACAGAGACAAGGGGATTACAGGGGTGCATTTCAGAAAAACCGAGAGCCTGAAGTTTAGTGAGACTGTGCCTCAAGAAAGTCAAAGATCGACAGAGGACCCACATACACATACACATACACACATATGAGCACACATACATACATATGTACACTGGACACACAAAGCCTGAATTTAAACAAGCACTTAAAATCAGTTAATTAACTTTTAAAGAATTGAGAAGGTGAGAAATTTGAAGTCTGTACAGCAATTTAGAGACACACTCCCAAGGGAAAAGCACAACCTACTTTCTTCAAAGGGTATTTCTAGAGTCAGAAATCCAGTGGAGCGTAGTACAGACAAGTCTTTTCATATGTATTGAACGAAGTTGTTTTCATCCAAGCAACCCAATAACCAATAAAAACTGCCTGTCAACATATAAGTCTCTACGAAAACTGTAAAGTATGTCTACACATACTGATGATGGACCAAGTTGAAGCAGGGGCTGTTCATGTTGGCATAACCACCTAGCAAAATTCGTTCCGGCTTTATTTTCAGAATTTTTGAAATGACCAGCATCCATCAGTAAGAATGAGATTACAAATTTTAAGCAAACCGATCAAGCAATGCTCTAAAGCAGCTTCCCTTGGAAAACTGCGCAAACGTGATGTTTGTGCATGGCTCTAGAACAAAATCCTTTCCCCTGTTGGAAGGGACGCAACACAAATACCAGTCCAAGCAAAGTCTCCTTTACAATCCAGGGAGCTCTGAACATCTAAAACAACAGAACTTTCTTAAAAATCAACTCTAACGATCTTTTAAATTCAGAAAATTGAGCGCTGCAAGGCAACTGTTAGAACCCTGGGAGAAGGAAGCTGAGAGGATGCGATCTTTAACTGCCTTTGGGAAAGGTCAAACCTGCTCTCTCTGGTTTAGCCTCTCAAGGAGATGAAAGAACTGGCTGAAAAGATCCACTGACGGCATTGTCTCGCTGCTTGAATAGGAAAGTTTGGTAAAGCATGCACAAAAACAGCCGGTGCTCAGGAGAATTTGCCCTGGACAAGACAGAGAAACCAGCCAAGTATATAAAACTCGGGTTGCTGTAGACTCGCAGGTATTTTCACAGTTTTTGGACAAGCCAAACTTTCAAAATGTAAAACATTTCAAATGACCAGTCTCTCCCCTTACAAAAACGTGGATTCTTAATATTAAAAGTCAAAATATCATGTCTCACTAGGCATTTGAATTTAAGAGCTTCGACGCCAAATAAAAAAGACCCTTTCTAACCTTCGGCTTTCAAAAACTCAAAAAAAAAAAAATCCCTGCTAGAAGGCAATCACCATATTAAAACCAAACCCTAAATGATAACGAATTTTTTATTCCACTCAACAACAGCTAGGAAGATGACAGGCTCCCTTTAATCCCAGGCCTATCGCATAGTTTCTCAATAATTAAGAACTCTGCTCTCCACTGCAGAGAGGCCAAACCAAGAGGGAAAACCGGCATTTCCTGGGAAGTACCAAACCCAGAGGGTGGAAATGATGTTCAGTCCGGGAAGCTGCGCCGTTGACCAGGCCGGGAGCAGCCGAAGCCACGGTGCACGCGGCCCGCAGGACCCCGGCGCAGGCCAGGCCGCACGCGGGACGGGAGCTATCGGGATGAAGGATGCGCAGAGAGGATGCGGCGCCACCTGCGGCCGGGAGGGACCAAGGCAGGTCCGCAGCCCGAGCGCGGCGCCCCCGGAATCCCGCCCCAAGTCCCCCGGAGGTCGGCCAGGAGCCTGGGAAGGACGACAGCCGCACTCACCACGCCGCGATCCCGGATCCATCGTCCCGCCGCCTGCACCGCAGCGCACAGCGGCGACAG